TTGCATGCTTGCTTGCCTGCTTGCTTGCGAAACCCCTGGTGCGCTGTTCGTTCGTCGGTGTGGTCGGTTTACTAGCCCCCTGTTACACCATGTATTCCCAGGCTCAACACAACATCGTGAACATGAAACCAGGCTTGGACTCCAGGTGGCACGCACCTTCCGCGTTGTGTCTGACTCTACAGTAGAAAGCCGGGGTGTGATGAAACGCTGAGTCTCTCTCTTCCCCCCCCTCCGAGTCCTGGAGGCTGTACCTCGATGAGCCAGCTCTTCTCCCTGAAAGTGGCTGGGAGGCGAGTTCGGCTCGACTTATGAGACGACTAGTAGTCGGCACGAGCTTGCCGTACCTCAGGCTCAAGAAAGAAGGATTGGGTAGTTTCCACCACTTCATATTAATTATTTAGTTGTACCTGCAAAAACCTATCTCCCGCCGAAGCGGGGGTTGGAAGCAACTTGTCAGGCCCAAAAGGTCGCCTAAACACGGGATCTTGCATCATGCAGGTGCAGCAGGTGAAATGAGGCTCCAAATTGAGAAGAACACCTCCATCCCCAAACCGAAATCACGTGGAAACCCCTGGCCACCAATTTGGCCCAATGCAGAAAGCTAGGATCCACACGAGAGGAAGTATCAGCTCCTGGCCAAGCAGCGTGTTTCAGAGCTGATTGGGACTTGCAGCCTGAAGCTTGGGATGGACCGACGTTGAGGTCCGCAAAGGGCATCCCCACTTGTCCCAAGGATGCTCAGAGCGCTGGCAGAGTGTCCCATCACTGTCACAGCCCGAGTTCGCGATGTTGCGTTGCGGAACTTGGGATGCTGGAGACGCGGAAGAGCTTGGATGGGGCTCTGGGGAGGAAGCGAGTCGGGCGCACGGATGTTCCCATCTGCGCTACGGTGGTGAGGTCAGCGGTGCATCCTGGCAGAAGCGCAGGGTAAATTCTGCCAAGGCTTGCGAGTAGTGTCCCCATTGCGAGCTAGTCATGATGATGACGAGGCTGAAGATGTTGGCAATGCTGATGATAGCAATAATGATGTTGATGATGACGACGAGAAGGCGTGCTTTGGTCATGATTTGTCATTACCGAATGCCGTGTCCTATGATCCACAGAACTAGAGGCTACCAATACTGCGCGGTGCCCCGGTCTTGACTAGTACTGGATTCCTCCTACTACTTCTGCTGCTTGTACTTCTACTGCTGCTACGACGACAACAACGGGATCTTACCAACTCCTAGCCCTCAGCCACAACGAAACCTCCTGCCTCATGGTTGAGATTCTAAGGTCGACATGTTGGTCTATTGAAGAAAGCTTGCCACCTGATGGCACGCATCCTGCAGTGTCCAGGGAGTACACCTGCAAAGCAAGACTTCGACAAAAGTGGTAAAATGCTGGAAGGCCAGGGTTTAGGCTTCAGGGTCTTAGTTTGTTTTTGTCCTTTGCGGGCCCTTCTCCAACTGCTGTTAGTGGCAGAAATTCCCTACCGAAAGGAGCCATTGTGATCTAAGCCTTCAAGCCTAGGCCATCACCCCCAGGTCAAGATCTTGAAACACTCCAAACCAAGCCAAAACCAATCAGGAAGTCCGCGCACACACACACATACACATGTATAGAGTCACACGCACATATACACACAAACATACATACATACATACATACATACATACATGCATACACACATGCATACACGCACCCATGGACACCCACACATATGCACGCACACATGACAGGTTTATTCTCAACCACTCAGCAACCAGGCTATGCATCGTTGAAGCTTACAGAAGTTGCAGAACAAGAGCCAGAGGCGCTGTACAGAACTGAGGCAGCCACCCCCTTTGAGCAAGAGGCGCCTCGGTACAGGGCGTGGGGCTTTGGATTCACTCTGAATTCAGGGCTTAGGATTTGTTCTGGTCTATAGGGCTGAGGCTTGATTGTTGAAGGGCCCGTCGGAGAGTCGGGCTCAACCCAAACTCGGATTTTGCAGCTTTGGTCCTAGCCTCAGAACCACTGCAACGTCAGGTATCCGGGTCGACAAAGGCACTGACCGAAAGGTTCGCCAACTCCGTGGTATACTATGTATTCTAAGCTAGAGTTGGGAGAATCTTGATCATGTGTTAGCGTGGCCAAGTCAGTATGGTGTAGTGCAGCGCCTTGGCCCTGCGAGCCATGGATGCTCACACGACCAATCGAAGAGAGGTAATTACGTAGGAAGCCCATGCACTTCATCAAAATTCAACCTGTAGACATCCCTATGTGTAGGTTACCCCGCAGCAAGCCAACTTGAATTCTAACGGCAAGGTTGGATACCAGAAGAGAACATGTGCCCATCGTGCTGCATTGCAACGGGACGGTCCCTAAACCCTAAACTCTGAACCCCAACACCCTAAACCGTAAATCGAACGAAAGAAGGAAGTTTCAGGATGCATCTGCTTGCCAGCTGCCTGCTTTTTTCTTGCAGCACATGGTCCAAGCGCAATGAATACTCCTCCTTGCTTAACTCGTATGTATGTATGTATGTATGTATATATATATAGAGGTATATACAGGTATATATAGGTATATATATATATACATAGGTATAGGTATATTTCTGCCTAGATGCGTATATGGCACATGATCGCCGATCGTGTCCACCCTAAATGCTGAAGCCCATACAGCGCTGCAAGAGCCCTGCGGACCTCGATTCGGAGGAGTGTTGCGTACGGTTCACACATGTGGCAAACCTCCAGGTCTAGGACGGAGGATCTACGTCTGGGAGACCAGAGAAGCGCAGCTGGCTAGCATGATCTTAGCATGCAGCAGCGTAGCGGCGTAGTAAGCATCGGGTTTTGGCACCCTGAAGCCGCCTGGTACCTCGTCACACCAGCAACTACTCTGCCGTGGGATGTAGTGATGGACTATGAGTATTCCATTACAGACCAGACGACCACTAAGAAAGGATCATCTCCGCGGACCTCACCAGGCTTTATAAATTTCGGCACCGCGGCGGTGAAGACCGAAGGCAGCAGCAGCTGCTCTCTTTCGGACTCCTTGGGCATGTCTGCGAAGCAAGCGAATCACATCGTGAGACGAAGCCCCGGATCAGGTTTCCCCTAAGGGGAGACGTCAACCACTTCAGACAAACTCCTAAATGAACTGTCTGACGTGGGGAAAATGGTCGTTTTAAACAATTCTGGGTTGGTACAAAAAGGGAGACTCTAGACTTCAAACGTTCCCTCACTTCGGTCACAGGGGGAAGGTGAGTAAGACCACTTCCTCCACCTGCTGCGTGTGCTTACACTGCAGTACAGGGCTGTGGTGACGGCAGTGTACGAGATGGACACCGCCAGCGATTCCTGGTTTAGCACCATGGAACCGATTGCGAACATGCACAGCAGGACCACTGTCAGGGCCAGCCAGATCAAGAACGTTTTGCCGTAGTCGAGCAACCCCCCTGCAGAAGCGGCAAATCTACGGCAAACGTGAAACACAAACTGCACAAAGAGGACGTTCAAGATACTATTGCCAATGCATCTTGCTAGGCAATGGCCGACGATCATGTCCAGAGTAGAGGTGGGTGCTTCAGCACAAATCCAAGATCTTGCCACGTTGAAGGTGACGAATGGCGTTGCAATCATCAGCCAATAGGCGCCCGGAAGATCCTTCCTGGAAAAGCAGTTCGTGAGCTCGTCTGCCAGAGGCCCTCTCACATGATCTGTGAACGCTTTCGAGCTTCCATACCACGAATGAATGGCAGCATAGATGTACTCGGTGTCTTCCGCAGAGCGGCAGTGGACCTTCTCGATATCGAAAGTGCGCAACTCATTTGCAAGGTGATGCTGGTCGTTAAGCAATCTGCGGAGACTGTGGTACCAGATGTAGCCGAGCAAACTGGCGAGCCCAATCGAAACACCAGCGTGGGCGAACCGCCACTCATCGACGATTATGAGTCCATATAGGCCCACGACAATGACGAGCAAACCGGTTTCGACGAACAAAGGCTGGAGGACGATCCTTCCAGACAGGGGGCAAGAGAGAATGGCCACGCAAACAGATTTTGAACGACCGACTGCTCTCGCTACTACTACGAGTGTTGCTTTTATTCTTCCGAAGCTAATGTCAGGCGCTGCTGTCAATTTCGACGGGGTGTTGATGGGTTGGCAAGATTTGGCAAGGATGGCACTTGGCAGGCTCAAGTCTGTCCTTCCGGCAAGATTCGCTTTGCGGAATGCCGCCAGCTCGAAAACACACCACCTCAGTCCCACTGAGCAGAAACAAATGTATGAATGAATGAATGTATGTATGTATGTATGTGCACCCTGCCACCTCAGGTCCGCTGAGCAACAACCGCGGCAACAACAAGTGTTTTCTATGCCCGTGCTCCACCAGCGAGAAACTACCCAGAACCACCTTCAAGCACACGAGACCCGAACACCATCACTAGTACCAACAGCACCGCCAATACCACTCAGACTACTTACTCCCACGACGATGACTGCATATTTATACACACTGGACGAGCTGCAATCTGGAGAGATAAGGCGGACTCCATAAAATCCGCAGCTCTGACGCGACAGCCAAAAAGCCGCTCAAGCCGTAAACACCGCGCTGCATCAGATCGGGATCAGCCTCGGGGGGTGCAAAGGTTGAGGATGAGAGTGGTCTTTCGAGGGTGAAGCTTCAGGGTCAGTGTGAACCATTGGGATACGGCTCTGGGTATGTTATACTTCGATTCGCTTATGCCATGGGGTCTAAGGAGTAATACAGGTAAGTACATCATTTAGAGCAGAGCCCTTGTTTACACACTACCCACCTGATTGATGCATGCCGCATCGAAGAAACACATCTCTCGCGACTTGCCCCTGCATGCAGCCCAGTGTGGCATGTAAGGTGCGGTCAGCAGCCCCAAGAACGACCCAATGGGACCACCTGAGTTAGGAGACTTCTTCCGACCAGGCACGGACATCTTGCTTTTTGAATGTCAGGCTTTTGGGTTCAGACTGCAGTCTCAGTTGTCTTCACATAGACGCAACGTAGCAAAGATTCCAAAGCTGTGAATCCGGCCACTGATCCAAATAGCTGGTGCTGGTGCTATGAAATCAGGTATCTCCTCAGTCGATGGTAGGCTTTCAAGCTTGGGAGCTGGGGCTGCTGCGATTTTGGAGTTGATGTCCCAAGCAGGTTTCGCATCTTCAAGCAGCTCTAGACAGGACAAGCCTCCATAGTTGCCTGCAGTACGATTCCAAGAACCACGCCGAAAAACCAGCCGGCCAGAAAGTTGTAGGACCCGAGCTGCACCAGTAGCGCAAGCACCTTTGCAGGGGCGACACATGAGGCCAGTTTGACTGTTGCTGAACCCTTGAGCGAACTTAAAGGAGACTCAAATGACGAGTTGTCAGCCCCTCCTTGCGCCAGCCACGGGTGTGCCACGTGCGTGACAAAAAGATGTCGAGCTTTTTCACCTTGCGAGATCTCTCCCACAGAGATTTCTTCGCCTGCTCCGGTAGATCCTTGGCCGCTTCTATCACAGTTTGATTTTGTGTTTCTGTCGTTCGCCTACCGTTGCTCTTGGAGCCTCCTCAATTGACTTGGAAGTTCCGCCAGGACGTGCCCCGGTAAATCTCGCTCTTGCAACGAGCCCTCTGAGGTGTCATCTCCGGATTCTTTCTACAGTCTTACACTGTACTTTTTGTTAGAATATACGACAATAGACTATGATATACGACAACATACCATAATACACTCTACATTAAACTATAGTATACCATAACCAAGGATCGATGGGCGAGGTGAGCCAAAGCTTCCCGAGGCCCCACAACGTCGCTCTCAAAGGAACCCCTCTCAGGAGCTCGTCTTCGAGAACAAAGTGCCTAGGTTCCGCAGGGTACAGGGGTTCAGGGTTCAGGGTCCAGGGTTTAGGGGGGACCTAAGTTCCCGGGTAGCCTCTTAAAAACAAGAGAACCCTTTCCTACTATTTCGTTGCAATAAGGGAGCCGGAAAATAGGAAAAGTGCAAAAGGGTACTGCTGGGGAACCTAGGTGCTCAAGGCGGTAGCTTAGACGCGACGCCATTGAGGCCAGTGTTGAAGATGCCGATCTTCTCCCAGTTTCATCGCCACTGACCAACTCTGAATCTGTTGCCTGTCTTGCTCACTCACCAATCGCCCGAGGCATAGGGGAAACCAGGTTATGGAGGCTGCTTGTTCAGAGGGGAAAATTTGAGAAATTGATACTTTGGACTTCGGTTTGTGACCAAGTTGAATCAGGCCATCCTATCTTGTCCACGGACATTGTCACTGTCTTTTTCATCACCGAAGCTATTGCACAGCTGTTGTGTGTGTGTGTTGTCTGGACCAAGCACTCAGATGAGCAAAGGAAATACCAAGCCACTGGACACAACGGCTGCCTCGACACTTTGGGACTGCCACCCGCCAGCTGTCGAAACAACTTCAAGTTGAGCGAGGTCTGCGAATCATTTCAAGCCCACGAACAACACCACAGCGGCTTTTATCAGTACTACAATAATAGTAAATACTTCCATGGTATTTTTTACAGAAAACCACGTCATGGGGTCCTGCGTTTTTGTTTTCAATACAGCCACCATATCTTAGTACATCATAGCAGTTTCAGAACATCACTGGTATCGGTAATTATGTTTCTGCAAGCTCCTGTGTGAGGATCGCGTTCCTCTTGCACAACGTTCGTCTCACGAGAAACATGCATCGCAGCATAATGATGGCGCCAACTAAGAGCGCGGATAATGGTAGGACGTCAGCAGCGTCTACAAAAACGAGTGCGTACGAGAGAACATTTAGCGCAGTAAGTCAAGTCCAGTTAGCAAACAAGCCATAAACACGGGCTCTCATGACGTTGTCTACTCCAGACTTTTCATAGCACTGCGACAACGACAACGATGATGATGATGATTCATGATGATTGTTCTTTGCCCGATTGTTTCTATGACCGCTGCTATTTGTTCTAGCCACTGCCGGGTTCAGTGGAGAAGCAAAGCTGCCTCTGCCGAGCCAGTGGATGGCAGTTTCAAGCGTGCGGGCAAGTCTTCCAAGTGGTTGTCGTCGTTGAGCTCAACCACCACCTTCGGCACCTCAAATTTTTCTGCGACTCCGGAGTTTTCAAAGGGCTCTCTTAGTGCCGTGCCTTTGACAGCTCCAGGGCTTGAGGATTTCGGGCCTCAGGGTTTCAAGATTGCACCTTCAGATCTGTCGAATCCCAGGTTAAACCTCCAGGGGAAGGAGCAGCAGAACACAAAGAACCTGAATCAGACCCTACCAGCTTTCAGGGCCAAGGACTGGCCAAAGACAAGCTAACTAAATCCCATAATCACCCCAAGACCCCAGCACTGTGAATGTCGCAGGCCTCAAGATCCTGAACGCTGAATGAATCCCCGACCCGGGGGGCCTGACACCCTGTCGCAAGAACTTGACATGCCTCCGAGACCTAAAGACAGGTTCTCGAATGAACCTTCAAATTCAACAGTGCACCTCCTGGACTTCTTGTTTCTGCTCTTGGC